AAAAAGAAAAATTTTACTTAGGAAAAAAAAAATTCATGTGTAATTTTTTTTTTTTTTTTTAACGTATTAGCCCCCCGTAGTCCGGTTCTGGATCCGTCCATGCTCCCATTCCCAAAAAAAAGGGAAAAAAGTGGCCTATATAATAGAAAATTATGCACTTATTTTGAGCATTCTCAAATCTTTCTTCAAACCCCATTTTCCTATTCATCCATCCATCTTTTCTTCCTATGGAGATCTTAAAGATGGATTCATGTGCACGAACGGCGTAAGAAAAAGACCTTTCACTTACAGAAATGACATACAGACACCCGAATTATCAACTATGCTTATCTACTCTACGTGCAAATCCGTGAAGGATCAATGCAAATGGAATGGGTCTTGGCCTTATAATGGTGGATGCTGTGAAAGCCAAGGCTAAAGAAACGCTTAACACCATAGACAAATTCAAGGGCTCCCCACCCGAGTTTAGAGAAGCAATGAATGATTGTAACAGAGTGTAAATATGCAATTTTGAAGTATGTACCGGCAGCAGTGGAGAATTTAAACAAATGGGTTCTAGAGTATGGTTGTGCTAAATGTACATAATATGTTTATATATATGGTGAGATACGATGGTGTCAAAATTTCTTCAATCAAATTAAAAAAAAAAAGTAACTTTTTTTCATTTTCTTTTTTATATCTCATTTGTATGTAAAACACTATGTAACTGCTTATGTACAAATAACATTATTCTCCAAAGTATGATTGTGCTACATATATATAATAGGTTTACATGATAGTTTACATGTATACGATATGGTGAGATATGATTTCCATTAACTAAATCGAACGATATGATTCGTGATCTTTGTAATGTTATCACAAGTTTGGTAAAGTGAATTTTACGGAATAAAAAGAAATTAAAACCTTGTCATCCGAACATAATCTGAGGATTGTAGTATGATTTTCCGAGTAATTATCTGTTTTCTATGAAACGTATGTCATCGACTTGTGTGTACTTGTACATGTACACACACCCAACCCATCAAAGCAATTATTAAATAATTTGCAACAAGGGGCAAGTCATAGATTGGATCTACAATAAATGGATCTGCCCACAGCCCACATGAATCTTCGAGTCTAATGCAGAGATCCCTGAATTTAGGCGTTCAAATGCAGCACACCCCTCACCGCATGTTAGACAGGCATGAACAATTACAAAATTAACTTATCTATACGAAGAAACAACTCTAGTTATATAGTCAATAAACACGTGAAATGTGTGAAGAAACTTCGATCTAACACGAAAAATGTCTCAAACATTCCATATGATATAACTAACCACTCACTCAATGCTAAGCGCCCTAAAACAAGGCAATCTCGAGGAAGGAAATGCTAGATCAAAATTCGACCAAGAAACCATTCAAAAGGCTTGAGTAGCTGCTCAGTTGGCAACTTTAAGTACAGTTTGTCACGAAGATTTTGTGACAATTTATTTCACTTTTAGTATCGACTCTGTACAAGGGACTCGTAACCTCTCCAGCTTCGATATCAGAAGGCAGATTATTCCATGATGAATTCTGAGGACTTGCCATTTTTATGTGTTGTATCAGTATTTATGCACGTGTATACTCGTGCTTCTTTCTAACTACTATTCCATTCCACTCGACATCTCTATTCCCCTAATCCTTGATATCTGAACCAGTAGCTAGTTCCAACATACTACAAAATAAAATGCAACGGAAGTTCCATTAGAACAATTAATATGTAAGATTGGAGGACGTCAATTTCTTGAAAGATTAACATGTTTGGCCAAACTTTAAAAAGAAAAGTAAGATTTTGTAGTGAACATCCAAGAAAAAGTAACTTCTTAAAAACCTCAAAAGTTTGGTGAAAAAAGTTAATCATAAATTATAAGCTTAGCCAAACATGCTCAATTCATTTTTCGGAGAGACAAATAAACATACTTGGGAGACCCAGAACCAATTGACGAAGTGTTGTGAGTGAATATATTTTGGTGGTCATGTACCGTGATGAAACCACTATCTGGTCCAGCATTTGTCTCCGGTGAACCATGGAAGACAGCAACTGAGTTATTTCCGGGGGATATTCCTGAGTAAGCACATAATGCAACACCATTATCAGGAAATTACGAGCAATAAATTCGATCGACCCAACCTAATGAGCCCCTTTTAATTCATCCATTAAAGTTATAGAGGAAAATACAAATTTTTGGGACAGATAATGAAGGCAACTTGATATTCTTAATACTTCTAAATGTTCAAAAAGTGAATTGAATGGTAATAGTTTGGTAATGTATGGAAGAAATAATGGATAGGTCAAAGAATATTTTGCTTGATGCATCATATAAGCAACCATGGAAATTGTATTCTTTCTTGGAAAATCTTCTCGTTCAAATTGAAGATAAATGAGACGGAAATTTTGACATTTACAGAAGGATAAAATAACAGATTTACCAAAGTTGTTTTCATTTCAAAAGGCGATTTACCAAAGGTCTTTGACTGAGAACACAAATCATTATCACGTTATCATGCCCTTATACACGACACTAGACAAACGGGAGAATAACATAGATGAAAACATAAAAGAATAATGATTATAACAGAAACATAAATCCAGTAAGTCGAAAAAATTATGGAAATGGTGAAAAGTGAAATCTAAGAGAATAATCGAGAAAGGCAAAGCATAAAAGCACTTGGTGGTCTCAAGGAGGGGGTTGGAATTGAGTTTCGAAGATAAATGAGAGCAATACTATTAATGGATAAAATTTCAAATCGAATAAAGATAAAAATATAGATCAACTTATAAGGACTTTGGCTACTCGTCTTAACAAGATTGAACTTTTAAAATGGAATATCAAGTCTTAATATGGTATCAGAGCCCATTAAACTCCAACAAACAATTCGATCCAATTAAAATTTAAATGTCACGTCGAATAAAAATAAAAATACGGACCAACTTATAAGAACTTGGACCACTCATCTTAATAATGTTGACCATTTGAAATGGAATCTCAAGTTTTAATAAAAACAGTATGTTTGGCTATACTTAAAAGTAAGTTATACTTATTTTTGAGTCACTTATTTTTGCCAAATATAAGTTTCAAATCTTGGCAATCAATGAATACAGGAGCATATCAAATTCATTAAAGGATTGGAAATATTACCTTGAAAAATGATCACAATACAGAAGAGAACAGTGAATAACATGGCAATCAAGTTTCCACTCAACGAAGTGGAAGATGCCTTTGCTACTTTCATTTTCTTCAACGCCTTCATTCTCTCTATCCTTGCACGTTTGATCATCGCAAGCTCAGCAATCTCTTTGATCAGCTTCTGATCAGCAGCATCCATTGACAATCCTCTTGGAGGACGGGGAGGTTTAGGCGGCTTTTTGGCACTACTTGACTTGCGTTTTTCCTTCCTAACGTTCTTCTCCTGAACCGGAGAAACATAACCCGTCTGATTCGCATTGTTGCTCAAGCTCGCCCCATTTTCACCCCTGACTGGTCCATCTAAACTTGCCGGTGCATTGCAGTCCTTGGCAGAAGATAACTTCCCGAGTTTGGCATCCAAAAGGTCGGGGTTTCCTGCTTCCCCGTTTATATTTACATCGCATCGGATATCAATCACAACTTCTCTCATGGGAATGTGATCCATCGGTAGCTCCCTCTATTCTTCACGCATAAAATTTTAAGCTGTGGACAGTATAACTTCAAAAATTATCCTCATAATAGACAACAATTATATGTTAAATGCAGGAAATTCAAAATCTTACGAACTAATTAAATTACGGCCCACCTTCCCATATAGAAATCCCATAAACTAGAACTACTCAAATGCAAATTTCGAGCCCAGTAGCAAAAATCAGTGAGTCATAAAGCAATTTCTTTCAAATCCCAGGTAATACCCTAACAACATAGTGATTGTAAATGTGAAATTATAGTTGACAAGAACTTAAATTACAAAACAAAAATATAAAAATGAAATTTTCATAAAGACAACGAATAAGATTGTAGTATTCTACAAAGAAATGCTTGTCGGGAAAGCAAAGAACAATACAAATTACAAAATCAATTATTGATTTGAGAAATTAAAAAAAAAAAAAAATAGTAGTCAAGCCAATCACAAACTAAGCAAAATATCATTAACAATTAACAAAAGCAAGCACTAAAAATCATAAAAAGAAAATACCTTTTGAAATGCCAGATTCAATGAAGACAAGATCATCAAAGTACCCTGAAGTGGAAGCTTCGAGTGGCTATTCAAGATTCAGGATTTTTTTTTTCTCTCTCTCTCTAAATATGCTGTATGGAGAGAGAAATTCGAATATGAATGTGTGTGTGTGAGAGAGAGAGACAAATAAAGATTAGCGCACGAGGAATCGGGCCAGAAGCGCACAACCGGGAAAGTGGTGGTTTCAATTCTTTATTAACAGCTGCAGATGTCAATAATTTATGAATGTCAAGCAATGTGCTTTGAATTTGAGTGGGACAGCGCTTGCCGTGTTGAAACTCAAACTGAGATATTTGCCTCCCTTAACTATCGCCACCGACGCTCTCTATCGAATGGGTCTATCCGAATTGACCCGTTTAAAAATATGGTCCGAGCTAGATCCGAATCACATCTTTCTCATTTTTGAAAATCAAGAATTGTTAGGCTAGATTCTCAAGTATGGGACGGTCCACCCACGACGGCGGTTCAACATGTGAATCAGCTTGGATCAAATTAGACTATTTTTATTAGAATTTCAACTAGTGGGTCATTGCAAGCGTGTACTGTTTGACCCGAATACTTATGATACGATTGGTACAACAAATGAGATTCAATTGCAAATATGGGTTGTGCTATGGGATCAATCCCACTAATAGGGGGGCGTCGGGTGTCCATAGTCTCTTATGGACACCCCTATGGGTACACTTATATACCCATAGCATTTTCCTACAAATATATAAGATAAAATTGAAGTTACATTTTTTTTTTACGAGCACTCTTCAATCACGCATACAAAATATACCATTAACTAGATTTTTACCTTCTCTTTTCCTTAATTTCTTGTCATAAATTGTTCAATTCACTTTTACAAACGTGTCATCATAGTTATTGATTGAGTTTGTCCACCAACTAGTTTTTCGTGATATGTATTATAGACACAGACATACAAATTTTAGACATTTACTATCATACTCAAGAATGAATTACATATCCGCTGTATAATCGAATCCATGCTCAATTATGAACTCCAGGTGGATCCAGCATTGTACGTTATTCTAAAAATAGTTGAAAAGAAAAACACGTAATTTATTATTTTTAATGGGCCAATCGGATGGGACCAAACAAGTGAAAATTTAACCTTAATTTGTCTGAATATTCTGCCAAGGTTGCCCAGATTCCTGTTCATATTAGGCTTTTGTTGTATTTAAACAGGAAAAACCAGATTAGGTTTCAAATTAAATCAATGAGCAATTAAGGAAGAAAAACAAATCAAATTCAAATGAATTAGTCTTAAAATTAATAGACTTTTAAATTTAAATCTGTTGACAATACTGCATTTTGGTAACCCAGTCAGTAAATTTCCATTTTAATTACAGTGAAATAGGAAAATTAATATATTCTCTTTTGTTTAGACAAGTGATTGATTAGTGACATAAAATCAATAAAGTTGAGAATATCTCTTAGAAATTCATTGTAACTTGCCTTAGAAAATGAGATTTCACCTTAAAAAAATTTCTAAAATTGACACAAGATGCATGTATAAATCTGGTTTCCCATATGCATATGGATTTGAATATGTGAAACTTGTGAACAATGAAGAAATCATTTTATCACAATTTCGTCCCATCCAAAGCAGAAGAACAAGTATGTAAAACTGCCAATGCCCTTTATCAAGTCACTCGAGTACTCATAGAGATAAGGGACATTTACCCTCCACCGGTACTCGATTTCCAAAATCCATGGCAGATCAAGAAAACCCTCACACACTATGAGGTGAACACTTGCAAGATTCGTATCTCGTTTTCCGACATGTTCGAGCACGTCTTTCGTTATTGGAATTTGTGCATGGCCAACAATGTGGTTTTGGGGCACAAGGTGAATGTTATTCTTTGGGATGTGACTGATCATCACAACCCTAAGAGGTATAGAAATGAGAATGTTTATGTTGAAATGTTGCCTAATGATGATTACATTTTATGTTGCATGGAATTGTTCAAAGATCTTGGTTTGAATGTTGATGATGAGATTGGACTGTATTGGGATCCTAGGGCTTCTACTTTTCAATTTAAATTATTGTGTAAGACTTTATAGAATGTAATTAGTTTATTTTAAAGAAATCATTGTTATAATGATGTGATTAGTAAATACATTTTTTATTAGCAACTTGCAAACGTATGAATTTGATTCTTATTTTATCATTTTTCCTACTTGTCGAACGAAATGATGAAAAAAAAAAACAGATTATACAGTCGACTTTAAATTTACTATCGTCTTTATTGCTTCAATTACGTCTCCTTTTGAAGTTGAAATTGGGTACGATCATCATGTCTGAATCTTAAACAAATCATTTTGTCGATCAATTAAATATGTTGACTTGATGCATATGATATAGTTAGGCTT